CTTTAAACTTGGCAAGCATCACTATTATTATTGCTCATAAACCCTTGACCTGTAGTATTAAACTTCATAAGTTATCCCACAGTGTTTGTGGTATAAACATGAATGATGCCACAAATCATGTGGCTCTAAGAGATCAGATTTATGATCATTGCTCATAATGTTATAGAGGCTTGGAGGTGGGGATAATCATGGATCCATCTAAACTGGCAAATGTTTACAAATATTTCCCATAATTGTATTTTGAAAGATTCATTATCATTTTCATCCTATGCATGTTAAATACATTTTTGTTTAACTGCGCTAAGCCGACACCATTCAACTGTTGATTAATAAAACTCAATATTAATTATGTCATGTGACTGTTACATCATGTTATGTAGGGAGTCAGCAAAGAAACTGCATCTAAAACTATACATACACTATAAATCTACATGCAGTTTTTTTAAATGATGCACATAAACAAATGCATTAAAAGTTGCAAAAATATTGTTAAAACTTAACCCTAGTATAAAAGGAATAATTCACCCAAAAATATAAATTTGCTCAACATTTACTCACCCTCAGGCCATCCAAGATGTAAATAAGTTTGTTTCTTCGTCAGAACAGATTTAGAGGAATTTAGCATTACCTCTCTTGCTCGCCAGTTGGTCCTCTGCAGTGAATGGGTGCCGTCAGAATGAGAGTCCAAACAGCTGATAAAAACATCACAATAATCCACAAGTAATCCATACTCCAAACCATTAATAAATGTCTCATTGTTTGTGGTACAACTTCGGCACTGTAAAATGGAATAAAGTTTATTAAAGCCTTTTAAATTAAGCTCCAAACCAGTTAAAATATATGCACTGTTTAAATGATCACAGAATAGTTTTCCATTCATGGCCCAACAGGACCATGCCTGCTGACAACTAACATAAAAAGAGCTTTCATAAATAACTTAAGCTGCCAGTGAAGTATGATGGCACTTATTTGCAATTCAAATGAAGCTGAAACTCCCTTTGATCTCTGACAGAGAAGATGAGATTCTCACCTGAGAATAGAGATTCTGCCACATTCATTTACAATGGCCTAGATAAGGCAATGAAGCCACTCTGTGCTGAAGTCAACCACCGAGGTAACCATTGAGGTATAGGATCTACACTTGGCCAGGTTTACCTACCGTGTGTTACTTAACAGAATAATACATAAATGCATGGATGGATGGTTTGAAGATGGTTTGTCAAACAAAACAGGCAAAAATATTAATGAATGACATTTTTTTAAACAGCGGCTACTGTATGTGCACAGGTTTGTTTCACTATTCCCTTAATATTGTGTAATGAGGTAATTCCCCTGTAATGCTGTACAAAATCTTATATGTAATATAATCTGAAGATGCAATTAAACATCTATATGAAATCACATTTATTTTATATAACACTCAAAAAGAGCATCAGTTAGGCATGGCATTTTTCTGAAGCATCTAAGTTAATGACTTCTGTGTATTTGTCTGCATGTGATTACAGATCTAAGTCAATCTTGCTGTCGCGTCTGGTTGAGTGTTGAAGGATTAAGAAAAGAGTAAAATCTTTTTGTTAATCTGGTGCTTTGTAGAGCGAGAGAGAGAGGGAGAATTTGCTAGTTGATTTCCTGTCAGCAAACTTAATTTCAAAACAGCAAAAAAAAGAATGCAGTGTCATGTATGACCTGCCAGTGAAACCAGACATGTAAAGCGTTTTACTTAATTATATTTATATTAATAAACATGAATATTAGTAATATTTAAACAATCTAAATTAATTAAAAGAACATTTATGTTTGTGTTTAAAACTATAAAGTATGTATAGCTAAGCCAACTGAATTTTAAGAGTGGAAGAAAGACCATAGAAGACGAGTAAACTTAACCCAAACACTTATGACAGCCATATGGCCACACACACACACACACACACACACACACACACAGTGTATTAAATCTTTTACATTCTCCGAGTAGCTGTTCAGCCAAAGGTTTTGCATCCTTCAGATTCATCAAAACAGTCTCATCCTACTGTCATCTTTCTCTCTAATACACACTCAACATGTAGTCCCATAATGCACAACCACAATATCCTCTTATCAGAATCAGTAACATTACATGCTTCATATATGATCCTTAATATCACCTGATATTTTATATGTATATATTTCAAACTCACAGCACAGAACACATGGTAGATAAACCCTGTATAGCCAGCCATATGTGTATGTGATTTGAAGGGTTAAATCCAGGAAACACTCTGGATTAGACTATAACATGTGACAGCGCACACAATCTGATTCCAATATGACATTGAAGATACAAGCCATTTTCTTCATATATTTTAATGGATGTGTGATGTTGACTTTGCTAATGTCCTCGTGGTTCTCATAGCATTCTTTATAATCGCATAAATCCTTATTGTCACACGGTGTTATTTACTGAACTGAATTGATCTATCTATCTATCTGCAAAATTCTCTAATTTCCTAATTTAGCTCACAACAAATAATTTAAATAAAATTGGCATATATATTAGCAATATTAAAAATGGCAGTATAGCGCAAACGATCTATGTATCTGCCGCACTCAGATTTTCACTGAAAGACCGAAATGAAGGCAGCTGGCCTCTCTCCGAGAGAACATGGGGAGTGAGATCTCAAGCAATCTGAGACTTCAGCAAATCTCTCATCCCTCAGACTAAAAATAACCTCAAAATACATTAAAGCCACCAGCAACCCACTCACCCCAAAGAGGTCAGAAACACATCTTCACTGCTGTTAGTATAAAGTTGGTATAGGTAACTTTTCTTTTACTAGTCTATCCTGAAAATTAAAATCTCAAAACTTTTAAGTCATATCCTTATTTACAGCGGACCACATCCGTTAGATGTTTGAGCTTATAATCTTGAGATGAAACGTGACCTTGGTGGAAAGGCAATGATTTCTGTAGAAATCTCTATGTCAATCTCAGTCGGTTTATAAAATCCCATGAGTTACATCATCAGACACATCTATGGCTGCACATGTGCTCAAAGACACTATGGATAAAACCCAAGGCATTATCATTTCACATGCTCTGAATGACAATGAAACTCTTATTTCTGGCTGGACTGGTATGACAGCATCCGCTGCATCTAAAGATTTTTGGCTTTACTTTGCAATAAAATAAACATAAATGCACACTATTTATGTGTTTCTCTGTTGTTGTTTTTTAAATAAGGAAATCTAATCTATGTGTATGTTATTTCCTTCTCAACAGAAGGAAATGTATAATCTAAGTGGTGAGAGGACAATTTCAAAACAAAAACACGCTAGCACTCCAACTCTGCTACCGTCTTTCCTCCCAAACATATGTTTCTAATCATCTCTGGGTATTTACTTTCTGTGCAAAGAGCTTCCTCCGAAAAAGGACGGAAGGGCATGAAAATGTCATGACAGACACTGAGCGAGGAATCAGAATGAAGGGACTGAGAGTCTTAAGAGTGATAACAGCTTCATCTCTGTCTCTCACACTCATTACACAAGCAGATAGTTCTCACAGCTCTGCAATTACTGCTTCAGCTGTACAATCACTGCTTGCAACAACAGCTGCCACCATCCATAGCAAAAACACAGCTGACTGCACACACAAACAAGAGAGAGATAAGGATAGAGATGAAGTTGCATGAATGTGGTATCTAGAATATTAAAAGGAAAGACATAAACCAATGCTTTAATCTCAGGGTCATATAGGGTAATTTGTAAATAAATAAAAAATCATCAGATTACTATTACACATTACACTGCCAAAATGATCCACAGCTCTGTGTCTCCATCTTGTGGATAATTTCTTATAGCAGCAACAGCAGCAAAAAATAAAAATAAATAAATGTGGCATTATAAAATAAAATATTACGAAATATAGAAATATGGGG